CTTCCGAGAGACACAGATGGGGGAGGACCTGGAGAAAGCACCCCCAGTCGGGCCCAGCCACCTCACAACCCCTTCTCCTCCACCTCTTCTTCCTGCCAGGACCTGGGGCATTCACACACACACCCAGCATGACCCTCAAGCTCCTGGGGCTGGGACTCAACACCCCACCCCCCCACTCCCCATCTCGTCAGCCTTGTGGCATCCGGCTCCCTTAACCCCTAGGCCAGGCCAGTGTCCCATCCAGGATGACTTCCAGGCCTACTTTAGTTTACCCGGGTTCCCTGGAGCCCCAGCCCCTTCGCCCCTTGTCGGGGAGGTGGTGTCCACTGCTGGGAGTTCTGTGCGAGCATGTCTCTTTCTGGGCAGGGTTTCCTTCCAGCAGGCCTTTCTGGGCCTCCCAAGTGCAGGGGAAGGGCGAGGCCTCTAGCTCCTGCCTGAGCTCCTGCCAGCGGATGGAGGAGGGGGAGAGAAGCACCCACACAGGTGAGCGCTGGGGCCTTGTCTGGGGAATGAAGGGGTTGGTGCTGCCCTTCCCAGGTGGGCTTTCTGCGAGTGCAGACACAGGCCTCTTACTGGGGCCCAGCAGACAGACCCCGCTGCAGAAGGGGGCTCTTGCATCCTGGGTCCCTAGGTCCAGCCCCCACCCATAGGCTGGCAAACCCGGCCACCCCCTCACCACCCATACTCAAGCCTGAAAGCTGCTTTCTCTTTTTCTAGGAGCTGTGGAGGTGGGGACGGAGGTCCCCACCGGGTCCCAGGCAGCCCCTGGGGATGGCAAGCACAGAGCCAGGGCGGGCCAGGCCCAGGAGTCTGTCCTGCGGGGGAGCCAGAGCTCAGGGCCAGCCGGAGAGGAGCAGCCTGCTTCCCCAGAAGCGGGACTGTCGAAACCAGCTCCTCCCCACGCCAGTCCCTTGAAGATTCCGGTGGGCCGTGAGCCCGAGAAACCCTGCGAGGAGGAGAAAGGCGTCCCCGAGAGCAGTGAGGAGGGCCTGGCCGCCGACAGCGACGCGAGCAAGACCTACAGGTGCGAGCAGTGCGGCAGGGGCTTCAGCTGGCACTCGCACCTGGTGACGCACCGGCGCACGCACACGGGCGAGAAGCCCTACGCCTGCACCGACTGCGGCAAGCGCTTCGGCCGCAGCTCGCACCTCATCCAGCACCAGATCATCCACACGGGCGAGAAGCCCTACACCTGCCCGTCCTGCTGGAAGAGCTTCAGCCACCACTCGACGCTGATCCAGCACCAGCGCATCCACACAGGCGAGAAGCCCTACGTGTGCGACCGCTGCGCCAAGCGCTTCACCCGCCGCTCGGACCTGGTCACCCACCAGGGCACGCACACGGGCGCCAAGCCGCACAAGTGCGCCATTTGCGGCAAGTGCTTCACGCAGAGCTCCGCCCTGGTCACCCACCAGCGCACGCACACCGGGGTCAAGCCCTACCCGTGCCCCGAGTGCGGCAAGTGCTTCAGCCAGCGCTCCAACCTCATCGCGCACAACCGCACGCACACGGGCGAGAAGCCCTACCACTGCCTCGACTGCGGCAAGAGCTTCAGCCACAGCTCGCACCTCACGGCCCACCAGCGCACCCACCGCGGCGTGCGGCCCTACTCCTGCCCGCTCTGCGGCAAGAGCTTCAGCCGGCGCTCCAACCTGCACCGGCACGAGAAGATCCACACCACCGGGCCCAAGGCCCTGGCCATGCTGATGCTGGGCGCCGCGGCGGGGGCTCTGGCCGCACCCCCACCTGCTCCCACCTAGCAGGCCGGAAAGGAGGAAGGGAGCTTTCGGGAACCCAGGGCAGCCGCGGCAGGCCCCGAGGGAGGAGGCGGAGCGAGGGCGGGCAGGGAGCCGGGAGGAGTGCGCATGGGGTGGGCGGGGCCGGTGGAGGAGCCGCCTGGGCCGGCCCTCAGCACAGATTAAAGGCCTTGAATTCACGCGCTCCCTGCAGCTCTCTCCTGGGGCCCTGGCTCGGAGCATGTGCCCCACCAAGCCTGTGCGGGGGTGGGTGGGCCTGTCCTGTGTCCTTCCGGCATCCCAGACGCACTGCACTGCTCTCGGCTTCGCACCCTCCTCCCAGCTTTGACCCGGCTCAGGGTCCCTCTTCCCAAAGGCCCATTCCAGAGCGCTGGTTAGTACCATGAAGCCAGCCAACCACTGCCGAGCCTGGGGACACCGCGCTGGCCGCTGCTGCTTCACCCGACCCGAGGAGGCCAGGGCTCCTAGAGGGCGCCAGGAGGGGACAGGACGAGCCAGCCCCAAATTCCTCCCTCCCCTCCTCTCCTGTCACAGGCCCTGTCTATGTTTGGGTGATTAGCCATTTTCCCTCCGCCTGCACTGCCTGCCTATATAGTCTAGTGAGGAGTCCCCACCTGCCACAGGCCACTTCCCTCCCCCCAATTCTGCCTGCTGCCACTCCCTGCTTCTTTGGCCCCTTGGTATATACCCTTTATAATTTGCCCTACCTACCCCTGCCTGCCTGTTTTAACCCTGGTCTTCCCCTAGTTCGTTGGTTTGTTTTTAGAATTTTTTTTGGAGAGGTTTTTGCTATAGGGCGCGTGTGTTCACCAGACAGAGAGAGACAGAGATAGAAAGCGAGAAATCACCCCCCCAGGGGGGATGGCCACGCCGCAATTCCTTCTCCATTCTCCTCTCAGGATCTTGGGCACACACGAACAGGCGCCCGGCGTGAGTTTAAGCCACCAGGTCCGGGACTCGAACTGCAGTCGACTACTTGGGAGTCCAGCGACATAGCCATTACGCTAACTGCTGGTCCCTGTTTTTAGAATTATTTAATTCTACTTATTATTGTTATTTTCCAATTTGCTACAGGGTCTATATAGTCTACAGAGAGAGAGAGGGAAAGTGAGAAAGCCAGCTGCCAGGTCCAGGACTTGAACGTAGTCAGCCACGTAGTCAGCCACGTAGTCAGCCACGCAGGAATCCAGTGCCTTAATCCCCGCCACTTGCTGGCCTCTGTTTGTTTTTCATTCCTTGAGAAGGAGAGGGTGCAGCCTACTCTGCCCTGCTCTGGCTTAGCGCCCAAGATCGCAGCCCGACAGTGGCTTGGGCAGAAGGGTGGCTGAGACTGTGATAAAGCTGCCGGTTGTTGGGAAGCTGCTTTGCCAGGCGGCGGCCAAGTGCCATGTAGACATCGCTTGTTCACTCCACAACTCATTGGTTGTTTTGGTTTTTTTTTTTAGGGAGAGGTTTTTGCTCCAGGGCAATTGCGCTCGCCAGAGAGACAGAGATAGAAAGCAAGAAATTACCCCCAAGGAGGGATGGCCATGCCACAATCCCTCCTCCATTCTCCTCTTGGCTTTTTTTTTTTTTTTTTTTGGGGGGGGGCACACATGCACACGCGCCTGGTATGTTCTAAGCCTCCAGATCCAGGACTCGAACTGGTCAACTACATGGGAGTCCAGCGGCATAACCATTGTGGCATCTACTGGTCCCCAACTCAGTTTTTTTAAATAGATTTTTCACTATAGGGCATGTGTGCTCTTTGGAAAGACTGGGAGAGACAGAAAGATAAAGTGAGAAAGTTCCCCCAGGGGCGATGGCCCCTCAATTCCTTCTCCAGTCCCCTTCTTAGGATTTGGGGCACACATACACAGGCAGCTGGTGTGAGTTTTAAGCCGCCAGGTCCAGGGCTCTGAACCTCTGTCAACTACTAAGGAGTCCAGTGATGTCACCATTTCGCCATCTGCTGGTCCCTATTCTTTTTTAATTTGTCAGAGGGTGTGCGCACTCTCCAGAAAGGGAGAGGGAGAAAGCACCCCGCCATGGGGCGTGGTCACACAGCACCCCTTCTCTCTCCATCCTGTCGGGAACTTGGACCCCCGTCTCATGCCTTGGGGCCAGGATTCCAACCACATGGCCAGCCACGTGGAGGTCAGCTCTCTGAACCACCAGGCCACGGGGCTGCCCAAATGGATTTTAATGCCCCAGTTGTATAGATAAGGAAACTGAGGCTAGAAGTCCAATACCTTGACCAAAGTAACACAACGAACAAGCCAGAAGCTGAGGCTGTTAGTTTCTAACCCAGGCCTGTTAGTTTTTATAATTTGGTATGGGGGAAGTGAGAAAGCACCCCCCCCCCGGGGAGACGGCCACACCGTAATCTTTTCTCAATTTCTCTTTTGGGGTTTTGGGCACAGCCGCACACACAGTCTGAGACTCGACCCCGCAGTCAGTCATGTGGGGGTGGAAGTCCGTGCCCTTGGCCACCTGCTGCTCCAGGTCTGGCTTTGCCCTTGGCCACCTGCTGCTCCAGGTCTGGCTTTGCCCTTGGCCACCTGCTGCTCCAGGTCTGGCGTTGTACTCTGAGGAGCTCCCTATCCAGCACTCCTGCAGCATTTCTGCTTTGTTTGCCAGAGGGCGCATGCTCTCTAGAGAGGAGAGGAGGAGAGGGAGAAAGCTCTGCCCAGTGGGGCGTGACCACGCTGCAGCTTCTTCTCCATTTCTCCATCCCGTCCGGATTGGGGTACCCGTACTCATGCACCCCGTGTGTCTTTCAGGTCACTGATCCAGGACTTGAACCATGCAGTCATGTGGGCTCCTGCTCCCTCAGCCACCAGGCCATGGGTTGGCCCTCCTTTCAGCTATTCATTGCTAGTAAGTGCAAGGTGTGAGATGGGACTGACAATTAGATTTTTTTTTTTTTTTGAGAGGGTTTTTGCTTTAGGGCGTCTGCACTCCCCGGAAAGTCAGAGACAGAAAGTGAGAAATCACTCCCCAGGGATGGCCACGCTGCAATCCTTTCTCCATTCTCTCAGGATCTCGGGCACACACGCATACGTGCCTGGCATGAGTTTAAACCACTGTGGTCGACTACATTAACAAAGTTATTTATTATCATTATTTTTCAGTTTTGACCTGAACCGTGGACAGCCATGTAGGAGTCCAGAGCCTTTAACTGTGCCACCTGCCGCCCCCAGATGATTATTTTTTAAGAGAGGTCAGAAAGAAAGCAGTCGTCCCCACCCTGACCCTTGCACTTGTCACGACTCCAGTCACTCAGCCATAAATGGGATTTCTTTGCTTGGCTCAGTGTGAGGGGCTGGGGACCCGTGGGCAGGGTTGCCCTCCAGCTCATTTTCTGGTTAAGGAGAAACTGGAGAAGATTTGTTCAAATGCCACTGGAAGGGTCATCACTTGTTAAGAGAGCTCAGCCCCGGCCACTCCTTGCACAGTGGGCATCACGTGCTTGATTTCCGTTCCTTAGGCTGCGTGGACAGCGGATTGCCCACCCGGTCTGTTGAGGGATCCTGGGAGTCGAAGACTTGACTCCGCCCTCGGCGGAGCTCAGAGATCACTGTATCCTTGAGAAACGTCTCTTCTTCCAGGGCAGAGTACAGAGGAATGGCTCCAGGGGTCCCGTGGATAGTGCCTGCAGATGGCCCTCCTCGCAGCTGCTCTCTAGAGGTGGAGCCGATGGCTACCAACGATAGGTCTGGCAAGAGCATTTTAATGGTGGAACTTGGCAGTTTGGGAAATGCCTGACAAGAAGTGAGACGGAGGAGGCGGCTGGGGCTGCGTTGTGGAAGGGCCTCAAATGTCAGGCTGAAGGGTGCTCATAGTATGGTGGGGAATGGGGTGTCACTGGAAGTGGGAGGCCAGAGGGGAGGAAGCCCAAGGAGGGGCTCTGTGTCTCTGGGTAGGAGGTGAGGAGGCTCAGAGGTTTAGCCCGACCGCCTCTGACTTCTCGACCACCGGAGACCTCGCCTGGACCGGCTAGTGGCTGACCTGCGCGGTCAAGTGGGGGCGAGCGAGGGACAGAATGTTCTCCTTTATGGCTTCTTGCCACTTCCCTGGGGCCTGCGAGGAAGCTCTGTTGGCTCCCTCCTGCCCGTCCAGCTCCTTGCTGCAGCGCTCAGGGCCAGCCGGCGGCGCTGCTTACCCCTAGCCTGGGACCGCTCCTCCGAGCTCGTGGGACTGCCTGCGAGACCTGGAGACTGGGCTGGGCCTCGGGACCCGGCCTCCGGCAGTGTGACCCTGCAGCCTGCAGCCCCCAGGGCCGCGTCCTAGCAGGCCCCGCCCATACCGCCTCCCCCGACCAATCAGGTGTCGGGGCGGGGGTCCGGCAAGGCCAGCCAATCACACCGACGTTTGCGCGCGGAGCTCCTCCTCTTCCACGCCCGCAGCCTCTCGGTTGCCCAGGCAACTGCTCCACGCTGTGGGCTCTGAAATTCCCTCAGTCCCTTTCGCCAGCGGTTCTTTGCAGAAGGGACCGAAGACCAGAGGCCTCTGGGATTCGCCACCGACCACGCCATTACAGCCGGCCCCGCCGCGCCGCCGGCTGCGGGGCCTACCACCGAGATGCCGAGCCCCCTGTGGTCCCGGGAGGACCAGAGCCGGGACACATCCAGCCCTGAGGGTGGTCGTTGTGTCTGCGCCGCTGGTCCCTTGCGGGTCACTGCACCGGGAGTCGGTGGGAGGGACACGGGCACCTCCGCCGGCGCTCGAGCGCCTTCGGGGGCGGCTGCCCGCGTGCCTGGGGCGAGCCGGGCGCAGATGCGGATGTGGCCGCGGCGTCGGTGGGGGCCGGGCCGGAGAGCGTGGTCCTTCCTCTTCAGCCGGAGCTGGGGAACCCGGGGAGGGGCCGAGGGCGGGAAGCGGTAAACAGCGACTTTAATGCGTTCGTGCACCCGTTCACTGTTCAGATCCTGAGGGAGTGCCGGCGTTCCATG